TCCCAAGTGGCGCACTCTCCAGTGCGCCACCGGGCCGGCCCACCGGTCATCTTTTTTAAAAAAATAAATAAATAAACACAATGCTTACAACAATGCCTTGAAGGCTGGGACTGTCGTGGTCCTGTTTTATAACTGAAGAAAGGGAGGCTCAGTAATGAGTCTGTGGAATTGCAGCCCCAGGGAGATGCGGCTTCAGGTGGCCCCTGGGGTGAGAGTGCCAAGTAACCATCAAGGGAGGGAGGCAGCTATGCGACAGAAAGGAGAGGGCAATCATTATTACCATGATGGTTAATACTAATGTGTGGGTCTGGTGGGGACCACTGGGCACAGAGAACTCTGAAAAGGGATTCAGGTCTGGACTCAAATGCAGGGGTGACAGTCAAAATATTCGACAATGCAACATCAGGCAAAATCAGTTTATAAGGATAGAAATTAGAATAGTGGTTTGCCTTGCAGTGGGGGTGGGGGAGATGACTGAAGGGGCTCGAAGGAACATTCTAGAATGGTGGCAATGCTGTCTTGATGAGGAGTTGTTTACATGGGTATTGTCAAAATGCAAGGACTGTACACTTTAAAATCTTCATTTTTCCATGTGTAATTTTGTACATATCTATATGTATGTATATTGTGTATGTATGTATTTAACCACAGGAAGAGTGTGGCTACATGTTAACACTTTAGTTGCTGCATTGCCATGAGGTGAGGGGGGGTCCCAAGGGAAGAGTTGAGGGGGCTCTTCGGGGTTTGGGGTAGAGGCTGTTTATCAACTGGAACAGATACAAGTATCTCTCTGTTTACCCACTAGTATGGCTGCGGGAGTGTGGTCCAGCCTGCTCAAACATCCCAGCTCCAGGAGATCCTCCTGTGCCGCCCCCTTATTTAACTGCAACACCCCCACATCCACTCTTCTCCACCTGCTTTAATGTTCACCATAACATGTGTCACCATCTATATTAGATGGCACTATAGATTGCCACCATACTAATATTTTGCTGATTTATCTTCTTCCCCAACTCGAGTGACAGTTCCATGAGGGCAGGATTCTGTCTAGGTTGCTCTCTGCTGTGTCCCCAGTGCCAAAAACAGTGCCAGGCCCTTATCAGATTCTCCACAGATATTTGGTGAACGACTGAACAATATTATCAAAAGCTAACACTCAGCATGTACCAGGGGCCAGGCACATTGCTCGGTGCTTATATGTAAGAATTAGTTTAATACCCAAGACTATGCTGTGAGAGAGGTGCTGTCCTGAACAATATTATCAAAAGCTAACACTCAGCATGTACCAGGGGCCAGGCACATTGTTCGGTGCTTATATGTAAGAATTAGTTTAATACCCAAGACTATGCTGTGAGAGAGGTGCTGTCATCACCCACATTTTCCATGTCTTGAAGAGGGGCACCTGCCCAAGACCACAGCGTTACTAAGTGGTGGAGCCAAGGTTCAAACTCAGTCCCAGCTGATCCCACAGGAGTTCAAGACCTGGTTCACAGACCGACGATGTGATGAGCAGGGGAGCTCTTCAGAGTTCTAGAACCAGGGACCGCATTGCAGACATGGGTTCTGGCTAGACACTGGGAATGGGCACCGAGAGCAGGGACAAGGGGCAGGAGTTTGGCGTTTCCAGAGGTGGGCAGTGGAGTTTGTAGTGATGGAGAAGTGCAGGGTCCAGACATGTGGAGGTGTGTGCTGGAGAGGGGTACTGAGGGTGCAGGAGCAGGGGGAAGGGGCCTCATGCCCAGTGGGCAAGGGTTGGGGGAAAGTAGGGGCTTTCAGAATTGGGACGTGGCCACCCAAGAACTTGATTGGGTCCCAAGAGCATAGGGATTCTAGAATGGGACGCACCTTGTTTAGAAGGTGTTTGGAGGTGGAAGGCAGAAGTGAGAAGCGTGCCATGAAAGCAGAGGCTGGGGTTCTAGACCTGGGGGTTGCTGGGGGCGGGGAGAGTGGTAGAGGGGGCAGGAATGGTGTTGGGGAGTCCAGAAAGTGGGTGCAAGAGGTGAATAGGGGTTCTCAGTAGATGAGGTTGAGGATCTCAAAAGTGAGCCACAGTGGCTGGCAGGTGACCTCGGTTGGTTAGGGTGCATTGTAACACCGAGGTCAAGGGTTCCGGTCCCTGTACAGGCCAGCCAATAAAAACAACAAAAAAGTGAACCACAGAGAAGTAGCTAAAGGGGTCCTGGAAGTGGATATCAAAATTCCTAGAAGTGGGCGCTGGGATCTCAGAAGTGGACGAGCTGTGACGCTGGAAGTGGGCCTCATGCATTCCGGAAGCAGGTACTGGCTTCCCAGAAGGAAACCAACCCGTAGCCCCTCACCCTCCTCACCCAGAAACGCAAGAGATGCCTTTTCCAAGAGCGCAGGCCAGAGAGGTAGATCTCCTGCAACACGGGAGCGCTGAGCTCCACTTCCGCCCCATCAGAGGTCAGTGAGGGTAGGAAGCCCACAGCCTGGTGCGCTTCAGCCATGTCACACTGGAGTCCTGGGGGAGCACAGAGGGTCATCATCCAGGTCCCAGGCTCCCTCCTCCTCCCGCCCCTGCTCCCTCAGACCCCGGAATCAGGACCCCAAACTTCTCCCCCAGGACCCTCCTCCTGCAAACCCAGGAATATAAGCCACATCTCATCCTTCCCTAAGCACCTGAGGGGTCTTGAGAGCTCTGGTCGAGACCTGGAGGTGTTGGGAGAGGGACGTCGGTTAGGGGCCTCTTGTGAATGCATGGAGAGGCGGCAGGGACAGCTCACCTCAACCCCTTTAGCTGCTCTGCTGGTAGCGTGGTGCGGGGTCAGTATCCCCCCTCCCCCAGTGAAGGACTCTCAAGATTCGGGGGTGGGGGAGGAAAACCGTTCCAGGGTGATTTGGGGAGTCTCAAGAAAAACAGTTTTAGATCCATATAAAACAAACACCTGCCGGACGTTGATACTGTCAGTTCCACTTCCGCTTCCCATTCCAAGGCTGGGGGTGCGGGGTGGGAGGAGGGTGGTGTCTATAAATTCACACACTGTGAGGGTGGCCCAGCGACCCTTCCCCCCGCCCCGGGCTGGAGGGGATGGGGGTGAAGCACCCTACTGCGCATGCCTCGCAGCCAGGGGTGCTGAGGCTGTGCGGGGAGGCGAGCGTCGAGGACCAGTGATGGAAAGGCCGCACGCCCACCCGCGACAAAGGCTTCCAGCCCCTGCAGGCGCCCGGGCCGCTGCGGTCTGGCACTTACCGCGCTGAGGCAGGCAGGGGTCCTCCGATCAGATTCTGGGGGCCAAGCCCGCGTACACCACCGCCCCCCGATTTTGAGCGCCCGAGTCTCCCGCTTGCATAGGTTCAATCCCAGCGCGACGAGTACACGAAGCGGTCAGCTGGCCTCCGGAGGCCTGCCCGCCCCCAGGTCACCCGACACCAGGAAAGCCCGATTTCTGCGTCGCGTGTGCCTAGCCCGGTATTCAGGTCCCGGGCTTTATCCCCGCCCCCTGCCCCGTCTCTCTGCACTGTCCCCGCCCCATTCTAGCCGCAGTATCCAATCCCCTCCTTCGGCTGGATCCCCGGCCCCCAGCCACCCTGATGCTCCACCACTTGGCTCTCCCCCTTCTGCGCAGCCACTCCGAGCCCTGGGTTCTTGGGCTCCCCGCTCCGCTTTCGGTCTCTCCACTCTCCTTTCTCCTTAAGGAACAAGGCTCAGCTTGGAACTCACAGTCCATCTCTGGGCACAGCGTTAACGCCACACGCGTAGGGTGCAGGGGCGAATGTCGTGCTTCCACCCCAGGGACGGAGTACGGGTGCTTCGGGGTGGGCTCGGCTCGCCAGAACGACTCACGGGAGGTGCATGGATTGAGTTGGCGCGAAGGGGTCGCTACAGCGGACTAGATTCAAGTCAGACAGTCAGAGGGACTTCCGTGACGAAAGGTGCATGGTTGGAGAAGAGTCCAGTCTATTAGAGACCGGCCCAGATTGAGAGGCCGACATGGGCACAGGCAAGAAGACACTGAAACAGGGAACTCTTGTTTTATTCCGTTGCGCACGTCAGTATTCTTTGTCCAGGCTGGGTCCGGTGTGCCCCTGGGTCCAGCGCGGTCAGTCTGGGGACCGAGTGGGGGAGACTGTCCCACGGGGTGGAATTAGGGGAGAAGAAACTTGGGGTAGTAGCCCCAGTACACAGATGGGCAAACTGAGGCCAAGGGAGGAGCAGAGGTGCCCAGAGTCACCCAGCGAGCTGGGCACTGCGCTCGCTCCCTCGCTGCAGGTCGGCGTCCTGGGGACGGAGCAGGGCTCTCGTCTCGCGCCGCCGGCGGCGCCCATAGCTGTGTGGGTCCTGGGGCTCACGACCAGCCTTCCCCGACGGCTCCTTGTTGGAGGCAGAGCGGAGCCAATATATGATCTCCAGCAGGTGGTGCGTTTGGCATGTGCCCAGGGAACAGAGGCGCCCGCGGTGCTGGAGGACCTGGTGCAAGGGCCTCCTGGGGAGGGAGCGTGGGAGAAGACCGAGTTCACACAGAACCCGCTCGGGACGTGGGCTGTGGTGGGCTGAGGCACGCTGACGCTTGCCTACCCATTCCACGGAACCAGGCGACGCGACCCGAAGAGGGCGCGCGCCTCTCACGGTCTCCTTCCCGCCCGGTCCCGGCAGCCCCAGCCTCTCACCTGCCCGCGGAGTCCGGGTCCCCCAGGGCGGAGAAGGCGAAGAGCAACAGCAGGATGAGGATGTGGGCGGTCATCGTGGGGCAGGACGGGGCAGGGTCAACGAAACCGTGAGTGAAGCGGCCCCTGCGGGGTGCGGCCCCGCCCCCCTCCCGCGTGCCCACTTCAGAGCGAGGAATCAAGGCCAGTTCCCGCTTCCCAGGTGGGGAAAAGTGTGGCCAAAGTCTGCAAGAGGCCACACCACGCCAGAAGGGCAGAATTCAAACCCAGATCCCCTCCTACGCCGCGGCCTGGGAACTGTCAGTAGATATGCGACCACGCCGCGGCGCTGTCTGACCCTGGGACGCCTCGGGAGAAGCGACTCTTTTAAGGCGTAGGGGCGTAAGGCGGGGCCGGTGACACCAGCAGGTGGCGACACAGCAGCGGACTTCCAGGAAAGGGGGTGGGGTAGGGGGTGGGGAAGCACTGGGCTCCACCGTAGAGGCGACCTCACGATGGAGACCCTGGTGTCTCAGGGCCAGACTTCCAGAGAGGGGTCTGAGCAACGCGGAGCAAGTCCAGACAGGACTGCCTGGGAGTCTGGACAAAGGGAGACCTGGCCCGTGCCCCCTCCTAGAAAAGGAGGAAGAGGTGACAGGTGTGAGGTGCCCACTGCACTGAAGGTGGTGTAGCCAGGGCCGAATAAAGATATGGATGGTGTCCTGGGTCATGCAGGCCGTGTAGATAGTACTCTGGGGGACCAGGGGCTTTGTGGACAGGCCCTGGGAGTGAAAGGGCAGGTGTAGATGCCGTGCCTGCAGCAGAGGCAGAATGGGCATCTGTGGAGGGGAAGGTTAGTAGCAGGGCCTGGGTGTTCATCTCCGTAAAAATGGGTAGGCCCTGACGCCCTCGACCTGACTTCCACTGACCTCCATGGAGGGCAAGTCCCCAACCCCAAGCTCCAAGCCACTGTGGGGTAGGAAGCAGAGACACACACCCACAAGTCTCTTCTCCCCAACAGCGCTCCCTCCCAACTCAGTTTCCCCAGCTGCAGAAGGCTGGGCACTACTCATTGCCAGTCAGCCCTGGCCTGGCCTTGGAGGGTCCTGAACAGGAAAAAACAGCCAGAAGGAACTAAGTGTTGGGAGGAGGCGGGGGAGAGTTTTCTGGGAAACTTAAGGGCTCAGCTGTGCTCGGAATCCACCCCCCACCCCCCACCCCCAGACTGGCAGGGCAGCTGGAGAGCAGGAATCCTGCCAAGGAAGCACAGAGCCTCAGGGGGCATGACAGAGGAGGATGGAGGACAAAGACCCCAAGAGACAGATAAGGGGAAGAGTTAGGACAAAGACTCTGAGAGAGAACTGTGGAGGGCAGAGACCCCAAGAGACCAAGGAGAGAGATGCAGAAACACTGGGGGGTGGGGATGGGGAGGGGGTATGGAGACCCAGCAAAAGAGGGGCCCAGAGAACTGCAGCCACCAGCAGGCATCAAGTGCTGATCTGCTCAGAGGCTTGGGCTGGCATCTCAGCACCTGTGGAGGGAACCCCAACCCCACTTTGCCCCAGGAAGCTGAGCCAGGTCCCAGCTGAGGATTTATTGGCGTAAATGCAACCATATAAAAACATAAGTTATGAAAAACACAGTTATGATGTGCCCTCCCTATCCCCCCAGCCCAGGCCTCTAAAACCCCCTTCTGTGGGAGGGAGGGAGAAGAAGAGGAGCCTCGAAACCACCTAAGAATGCCGCAGCCTCTGGGCCCATGCAGGGCCAGCCCAGCCAGGGTGAGAAGCCCAGGCGTTGCCTCAGCGCATCCGGTAGTCAGTGGAGCAGGACAGCTCACACAGCTGGCCCTTGAAGTCCAGGTCAATGGTGAAGTCCAAGTCGCGCTGTGGGGAGAGGGTGGATATGAGGGGTGGGACCGGGGGCAAGGCAGGCAAGACCCAAAACTGTCAAGAGTCAGGAGGCAGCAGAGCAGAAGCAGACTGAGCACTTGTTCAGGGATCTGAACCCCTGACCTTAGACTCAGCACTTGTGAAATGCTATGTATCCCTGGGCTCAGCCCTTACACCAGGCAGCCCGAGGTATCCTCCCCAAGACCCAGGGGATGCTCCTTTTAGCCCATCTGTACACTGGTGACCCTACTGCTCGTCCTACCCCCAACATCTTCCCTGCACCCGGACTCAAGTGACAGCGCCACGTGGACATCTTCAAACCCACCCCACCCCACCCCCAAGGGCAGAGCTCAGCTGCATCTCTTGCATCACAAGATTTCCCAATCAAGACCATTCCCATCAGCAAATTTCTTCCTTATATTATAAAAAAGAAAACCTCGTTCAAGGCCACTTCCTCCTCCAGTAACACTCAATTGACCCAGCCCGCGGTCTCCACTTCCCCCCCTGTACGGTACAGCAGAATCAAGGCCAGTTCCCGCTTCCCAGGTGGGGAAAAGTGTGGCCAAAGTCTGCGAGAGGCCACCCCACGCCAGAAGGGCAGAATTCAAACCCAGATCCCCTCCTACGCCGCGGCCTGGGAACTGTCAGTAGATATGCGACCACGCCGCGGCGCTGTCTGACCCTGGGACGCCTCGGGAGAAGCGACTCTTTTAAGA